GAAAGAGGATTCAAGGATCTGGAATGGGCCCCAACACTAACAAATGTTTACTTAACTTTATCTTGAAAGTCATGTCACTTCCCCTGCACCCCATGATGGAGAGAAGGGTTCAAAAATAACAAGTCAATCACACTGCCAGGTTGGGGGTGCTGTGGGGGGGGGAGAGGCGGAATCCACCCATCACTGGATATTCTATTAGTATAATTAGCTTCCTCGGCTTTTCCTTTCCAGACCACTGTGTGCCCAACAGAATTTCAAAACATGACTATATCAGCTCTGGAGCATAAGAAGCTGCGTTATACTGAAAGAGACCACTGGTTTAGCATGGTCTGTATTGTCTATTTTGAGTGGCAGCAGATCTCCATGGTCTCAGGAACAGGTCTTTCACATTACCTACTTCCTGATCCTTTTAACTGGAGATTGATGCCAGGGATTGAAACTGGGACCTTCTGTGTGCACAGCTGCATGGTCCCTTACCAACTCTCCCCAGCTGTACCTCCATAATTTATAGCTGACCAACAGTATGGGGGAAGCTGGGCATACAGCGTGGTAATAGGTGGTGAATTTTAAGCAAATATCAACAAACCTGTGACATTATTCAGTATCTGAAAGATAAATGAAGGATTCTCAGATGATACATGTCCAACCGATGCTTTGCGGTCTATTTCTTTCTTACATATATAAACACACACAGAATCCAAGCATAGTTTGTAATTCCCATTAATTAATGTTCTCACTTCCTCATCATTGAACATTCATTCTGAAGTCTGAAGCAATTTGTGCTTTTCATATCCACTCACCCAGGATATGACAGTGTAGATAAAATGTGTAGTATTTTGCTTCTCATTTGCTGTTTGCTTTGAAAACAATTTTTTTGCTAAGTTTCTTAGGAAGGAAGGGAAATGGAAGGAGAGAGGGAAAACTAAAGTGAACAGGAAAGAAAAATTCAAAGAAACATATTAAGCAAAGTATTTGATTAAATGGTTGCACAATATGATGGTATTAATGGCACTTAAAGCTATAAGCACTTAAAATCTTTCCATCAAATTTTATCACCACTTCATGGAATTTTGGAGAGAGTTGTTTGCATCTGTTACCTAAACCCTAACCCACCAAATAGGGACACCGAGCCCTGAGATTTGAAAGTTGCCCCGCCCCTGGTCTTAACATAGTATATGCACATATGTCTATTTTTAAAAATTCAAATTCCGCTACAGAGAATAGCAAACTGTTGACATCATGCAAAGGCTTTGCTTTCTGTCTTCAAAGTATTACAGCATTAAAACTGAAGTTCCTTCAGTGATACAAAGTGTGAACGCAAAATTTCATTTAAAAAATCCAAGTGGCTCACTGCTTATTGAACCAAGCACAAGGTTATCAATATATTTCCTCTCTTAATTAGTTCTTTTTCCAGTGTATTGTCTGTTTATAATGGATTCTTCTTCCAAGGGTGGGGGAGGAACTTTTTGCCATTTTTCCCTCTTCTTATTTTTCATTTGTTATGATAAATATTCACAATGTGTTGTTTTCATGTATTCCTTTACTTTTTTCTGAAAAAAATAATCTGCTCTGTCTTTGTTGATGTTTTAACTCATGACCCGGTGGCCTCCTTGTGCATGGACGTTCTTTGGGGTGGGGGGAGTGAGGGTACTGAAAGCTAATTCATCTTTTTATATTTTTAATACAAAATGGGAAAACTGCCAATATTTGGATGCCATGCCAAACCATAAACGCTGCCTTATTTTAAAATTGACAGTTCCCCCCCATTATTTTGCTTCTTTTTTTAGGAGGGGGGTGGAAAACAATTTCAGCAGTGAAAGGAGTAAGGAACTTGACCATCCACTGAAAAAGATACATTGATGCTTTTCTTTCCTTGCTTCCTAAAATGCTCTTCAAAGGCTTTGCTCTCACTCATTCCTGCCATGGTGATCACCTTTCCAGCTGCATTACCGCAGCATTGGGATTTCCCCAATGGTAAGCATTATGTGTAGGCTGACATTTTCATCAATATTCCACCTTTAGATGCCATTCCCCAGTGTTGTCTTTGTGATTTCTTTTGGCAGAGCAAGCTTCAGTCATTATGGCACAGTGAAATATTCTTCGATGCTATGTTAATTCTGATTGAATTAGGAGTCTGTATAAGGCACGTGTCTTGATACATATATCTATATATATCTTATACATGTATAAAAGACTAACATTGGTTCATTAAAGTCAAAGAATGGGGTTTTTTTACATTTAATTCCTGTCTTCAAGTAAAGATTTGTTTTCATGTTCCCTATCTTTGGTTTCAGTGGGTATCATTCCATTATCCAGGTCCATGTGCTGTTCAATGCAGTTGGTGAGAACAGCAGTGCTTGAATGCTCTGAGTTGCACACTTTCTCAGAATCTTCCTCCTTCTTCTCTTCATCCAAGGAATAGTTCCGGAACGTCTCATAAATTTTCCGCACGTCTTCAGGGATGCTTTTTTTCAGGTCTTTATTTTTCCTCTTGGTCAGCTTGGAAGAAGAGTTAAATTTGTTGACAATGTTGTCCTCTGACGCCCCCTGCCCATGCTTGCTCAGCTGCTCTGTCCCTTTAAGGCGCAAATTGTTCGGTTTGTTGTTGATGCTTTCCTGAGATGAAGCCTTAAAGCGGCCACTGTCCAAGGCAGCAAAGACACAGCGTTTCTCTGGAGACAGCATATCCAAAGAGTGGGCTCTCTGGTCCAGCCCCAGGCGCCTGCGCTCCATGCTCCGGATGGTGGCTGCCCGCTGAAGCTTGTCGTGGATCTCCACACTCAGTCGTCTCCGTGTTTCCCTGAACTCTGCAGTCACATTGGCTTTCCATTCAGCTGCATGGGCTTTTATTTCACCAACCTGTCAGGAGGGGAAAACCCACAAAAGTCACAAGGGGGAAAAAGCTGAGGAAAACTGAGAATAGTATTGTTACTGTGTGTTTTTAATTGTGTGTGATTATATTAATATGCATTTTTAAAAAATTGTGTGAGCTTTTAAATCCGGGTTCCATTCTTTTTAATTCATTTTTAATCTGCACACTATTTTTGGTGAAAGAAATCTTGTTAATTGGATTGTTATTTTTTGCAACCTTCCAACCTGGTGCTGCATTGCTGGCTACCTTTAGACTGAGGAGATAAAGCAGGACATAAATGTAAGCCCTGACTTGAATAGCCCAGGCTAACCTGATCTCATCATATCTCAGAAACTAAGCAGAGTTGGCCCTGGTTTAGTATTTGGATGGGAGACAACCAAGGAAGTCCAGGGTTGTTACGCAGAGGCAGGCAATGGTAAACCACCTCTGAACATCTCTCGCCTTGAAAACCTTACAGAGTTGCCATAAGTCAGCTGCAACTTGATGACAAAAAAATGTTTTAAATAAATAAATAAATGAACAAAAAAAGCAACGAATGTTTCTATTTAAGAATGTCCTAGTTATAAATAAAACGACTAACACTACATGGTCTAGAATATTCCTTTGAGTTTCAAAATGGCTCTTGCTTGCTTTCCTATACTGCATTAATACCATTCAAAGTAATGCATTTGCAGACACTTGGGAGACACTGCTAGCCAAACAACTCTTCTCACCGCAGGGTATTAAAGCCAGAGGAGCACCCTTTGAGACCAGGGGCTACCATGCAATGACATACAGTTACAACCCAATCCTATCACGTACACTGTTTTTCTGTCCTCTGCCAAATTGTTAGAGGTGCTTAACAAATAATATTTGTTATTTACAGATAAGTGTACTCCATACTGCAATTTAGAAACTAAGCTCCTTGTAGTGAGTTACTGGACTGAGTTAGACAGGGCGGAATTCCTGGAAACCCTGAGATCAGTTAACCTTTTCCCTCCCCATGATGACAGTTTTTCCTCATCAAAGCACTCTGCAATTCAATCAATTCCTGATTCTCTTTCTTTCCTATGTTGGGATCAATACTAGAGTTCTACAAAGTGCCTGCTGAAGAAAGCAGAGAGAACACAGGAAGGGAAGGGGGGAGAGGCTTCCAATGGCAGCTAGCAATCAAAGCCAGCACTTACATTCGATTGCCCACCCCACCAATATGAATCAGGATCCTACAGTTACCTCTTCTTTAGTCTTCTTTGAAAGAACTCGTAGCCAATCTCCAATCATACTGAGGACAGCAGCAAAATAGGCAAGACCAACCAGGATCCAGAACCACACCAGGGGCTTGTACCACTCCAGATACTGGATTTCAGTATTTCCTCCTGAGTCGGGGGGAAGACAAAAACCAAATGTTTGGTTTGTGGTCTGAAATTATTCATGGCAGAAATATTAAAGGATGAAGACTTTTTCTTTAGCCCACTCAAAGTACTCTAAAGCTACTTTGATAGAAAAACAAAACTAATCTATGCCAGCCTTGAGAAAATGTACTAATTATTCCAAATAAATGCATTCACACTGAAATCTGAACTGGCTTTAAATTACACTCTGAACTTAGCTGAAGTTGTAGATCAATTCTGTGCAGTGGAGAAGAAAATTGTGAATACCCTCCAGAATTCCTCAATGGAAAGCTGGGATAAAAATGGGATGGGCAGACAGACAGGCAATGTGCTAGGCACACAGTGGAGGTAAATATTAACAATCAACCACAAATTTGGGAATGTTAGGCTTCAAACTGTACATGCCTCAGGAAAACACTCTCTCAGGCAGGTTTCTAACATATCAGCACTCTGCTGTAAGACCTGGCAAAATCCTGCTGCCCTACTGAAACAGGGAAACTGGTCTAAACAAATATTTTTCCTCTCAAATGTTTAATTTACATTTCTGTTAGACTAGCCCTTCTTTCTCAGACCTATAAACCTAAATTCTCGCTCTTATCCTTCAAAACCTATCTTCTGACCTCTCCATATCAGATCTTTTCTTCTCCCATAGGCAGCTCCTGGGATAAGTTTCTGTGCTCTACCTGTCAACACACACTGAAATCAGCGGGCTTAGAAGGGTGTAACTCTGCTTAGAATGGCACTGCAATTCTAGATCGGAAACTTTTTTTTTTGCTGTACCCACAGCTACATTTTACGCATGATTAACTTATAGTGCACCCTTATTTCCTAGGCCAAATTTGATGGTTGAGAAAGGCCCACAAAATGTCATTTATTTAGATCTAGCCATGAAGAGAACTCAGGATTTTTCTTCCTTTCTGCATTCAGTGGTCTCTTCCCCCCCTCCTCCCACATCACCCTGAGCTTTCACACTTTTACAGGCTGTTAGTGATCCGCTGCCTTCCAAAGAAGCCTGAAAGTACCATTTACCCAGGAGCCTGCTTACAAAGACTGAAGCCTCATATAAAAACCAGAGTGCAGTTGTTTGGCAGGGATCCTAATATTGTTCTGATGCAAATCTCTCTCAACACACACTATTTGCTTCACCTCCAGAGCTTCCGACTTCTCAAGGAGGGCAAGTAGTTCGGGGCGCTTGTTGCTATGCTGCAGTGAGGTTATTCTAACCGCACATGTCCCAGTGGGAGATACTAAAGCAGATTAAGGGGATCTATGGCAGAGGGCAAGCAGGTGGTGCAAGAAAACTACTGCTACTTCCTCCCAGCCTGTTCTGTTTTCTTTGTCCGGTTTTCTGTGGGGTTTGTTGTTGTTTTGGCATTGCATTTCTCAGTCATATACATTCTTTTCCAGAGGAGTGGCTCAATCTACTTACTGATCTACACTTCTTTGGTGAACTGTCACCTAAATGTTACAAACAGTTTTTCCTGGTACATCTGAAGGGGGAAATGTCTCACCAATGCTGTCAATACAGACTGGGGGCGGGACCACCATTTTCATGGGATGATTGCTGTTAGCACATGATATGAAGGATCTCTTCACATGCTGGATCTCTGAATAATAGTCCTCTAAGGGGAAGTAGCTGACACTAGGATGGAAGCCTTAATGTGTTATTTTTAAATATTTTATACTGTTTTTATGCCCAGATAAGCAGTAGGATTCAGAGCAAGGGCTGTGCAACGACCACACAATGATCACTGATCTTCCCAGCTTTTCTTCTGCATAGCAGACATTTTTGAACCCAGGAAGGTTTTTTCCTGAGGTTGCAGGACCCATGTGGATCAAGAGGCTATAGTGGGGAAGGGGGAATCAGCATTTTCTGCAAGGGAGCAAGCCAGCCAAAGCCAGACAGACCCATGAATTCTAACATCTCTCCATTGTAATCGAAAGGGCTTTAATATACTTCACTTTAGATGGATTCTGCCCTACATTAGTCCATAGAGTTGACATCTCCACACTGCAATTGTTGGGCATCATGGTGCTAAAAGTCTTCCTATCATTCACAGTAATCTTCAGCAGAGTTATACCCTTCTAAGAGTTAAACTACATGTTATGATTTGTAACATGCAGTACCTGGGCTCTCCCAACCTGACTTTGACTGAGACAATCAGCAGGTGCAAGGGAACTCATTTCCCCGGTTCGGATTGGGACCCTGGCACTGAGAAAGAGTTCAGCCTTCCTCATGCCATTTTCCTGACCCAAAAGGGTCCAGGAAGTGTGCTGTTTGCATACAGAGGGCTGAATCCCCTTCTCTTTCCAATGCTGTGGTCCGATTCAGAATTGGGCATCTGCATGCTTGGGAAATGAGTTCCCTTGAAACTGATGTCTGACTGTGCCAGCCAAAGTCAGGTTGGGGGAACCCAAACGCTACATGTTACAAATCATATAGCGTAATTTGGCCCTAACCCCACTAAAGTTAATAGTCTTAGAAGGGGGTAACCCTGCTTGGGACTGCATCATTAATGCTCCCTGTTGTTGTTGTTCAGTCGCACAGTCAAGTCCGACTCTTCGCGACCCCATGGACCAGATCCCGCCACTGTCCTCTGAAGTTTGCTCAATTTCATGTTCGTTGCATCGATGACACTGTCTAACCATCTCATCCTTTGCTGTGTCCAAAAGAATTTTATAGGAAGCTGGATAAATTGCTTAAATGTCAGCTCCCTTTAACACAGAGCTCCATCCTCCACTTATCTTTAATGCCTGTTAGCAGTAATGAAGGTCACAATGGCAGAAGAAGAGATCACAGCAGCTACTGCTGTTGTGCATCCTCCATTCATGGCATTCATATCAAACCCCATGGGGAAAAACAGTGGTGACAAAACAAAGATTGGTTGGTTGTTCCCAAGGAGCAGAAAGCACTTTGTGTCCAGGAAGCTCTACAGAAAATAATAACAGTAACAAGAAGTATGTAACTTGGCTTTAAAGTAAGCACTCTGGGGCAAGTGATGCTCTGTTATCTTGGTGCTTGGGGGGGTCAACAGTGGGATGGCTTCTAATGTCCTGGCCCCACTGGTGGACCTCCTGATGGCACTGGTATTTCTGGCCACTGTGGGATACAGAGTGTTGGACTGGATGGGCCTTTGGCCTGATCCAACATTGGCATCTCTTATGTTCTTATGTTCACCTTCTCTTCATCACAGTCCTGAAGAATATTTGCTTCTTCTTTTGCCCTCTAGTCCCCAAACAGCACATTTGCTGACTGAGAATTGGCAGGAACAGATATTTATGGCTGAGGAGTGTAGTGCTCTCATCCCAGCAAGTACATAACATCCACACTGCACACACCTCATCAGTCTTTAGCATCCAATGTCAGATTTCTATAATGGGATGGGTCTCCTGCCAAAAATTCTATTAAGGATGAAGAATAAAATTCTGCAAGCTGGTTAAAAAACAACAACACCCTGCCATCCGCATTGTGATATATATAACCCTTTAACAAATACTTTTGGAATGGGTTTTTGGACCAGACTGTACTTGTGATCCTGTCTTCCATTTTCACAAAGAGGTGTTTTAAAAACATTTTTGCCACCCTTTGAAAGGTTATGAGTATTAGAAATAATGCACATAAAATAGAAAAAAATCACATTCACTTGTATGCATCATTTAGATACCATGGATTCCCAGTAGGGAATACCATGGAGTTGATTTGTTTGGTGAAATGGTAGCTGTTTGTCTTTTTTTTTTTTTCCCCTTAGGCAAGGTTACTGCATTTTGTGGCTATCTGGCACTCCAAACCAACTGTCACTCTACTATTTACTGCACCTTCCATGGCTTGGATCCTATGAACGAGTTCTGCACACATGTCGCTGCTAACATTTTTGCATAAGATTATTGATTTTCTATGGGCCCACATGCAATTGGAAATGAGAGTGGAAGAGGAAGCACGATCCATATGGCACTTGAAAAGGTGCAGAGTTGAGAGGAAAGAGCTCGGCACTGTGGACCCAATCAGGATTGAGTCCTTGTGGCATTTTAGAATCACTTTAAAATTGCACTGGTGTCCTCATGGCAACCATGAGTTTGCCATCGTGTAGTGTTTGGCCCTTACACTGAGTGAGATCAATGGTCTGTCAAAGTTGGTATTGTCTTCTCTTCTCTGACTGGCAGTGGCTCCTCGGGGTCTTAAACAGAAAAGCTCTTTTCCCAAATCTGCTACCTGGGATACTTTTAAGGTCTGAACCTGAGGACTTCTGAATGCAAAGAATGTGATCTGCCCCAGAGCCACAGTCCCTCTCTTCCTGGACTGCCAAGGAATTATAACTTTCTTTCTTTTTCGAAGCTCCATGCCAGTATGTATCTTCAATGGTGTCATGACCTTGGGCCTACTGTTGCGGCCTAGTGATTCCAGGTAAGCCTGCATGGGAGTAATTTATCAGGGCCTACATTACCCAGGTTCCCTCTGGACCCTGTGATTGGGTAACAGGAGATTTTGGAGGGAAAACTACACCAGCAGGGGAACAGGACGTGGTGCCTTGGAGGAGGATATAAAAGGTCTTACCCAGAGTGGGAGGGAGCAGGGAGCAGGGGTGGTGGAAGCTGCTGCAGACAGAGGGATCCCTCATCAAAAGAGGGGTGAGTTAGACTGTGAACAGGTACCTAGGGAAGGCTAGGAGTGTGTCGACAGCCACGTCAGGATTTGCCTTTACTTTGCTCATTTTTCCTATTTGTTATAGATCTAAAGTTGTTGTTCAATCCCTTAAATAAACTATTGGTTACTCTGCCTGGGTACTCACGCCTCATTTGGTCACGTACAAGGGGAAACCTATTGTAAAAGTACTGTAAAAGAGGTAGGGTGGGTGCTCTGGGCCCTTCCAAGGAGACCCATACCAGAGTGGTGGCAGCCAGCAGTGAACCTACCTAGTCACTACCCGCGACACTTGGTCAAAATGGTATATAGGAGCCCACTGAGATAAAACTTTCACATTTTTAGAGGTATTTTGGGGGGGATTTTAGAGGGTATCATCTGAAATAAAATCTCATCATTTTGAGTGACCCATGCTGCATTATCCATTTCCTAAAATCAACTCCCCTCCCACTAAATAAAGTACAAAAAACAAATACTGCAACAGTGCATATAATGAAGGATGTTGATACAATGTGTAATCACTTCATGATGTTTATTCTTTTCCACAGCAGGACGTCAACAGACGGTTAATGAAGGGAATGTGCGTATGTAATGATTAAGGCTTGTCCGCCCTACTTATTCATTCTGTTGCCAAGAGCTTTTTTTTTTGCATAAGATTATTGATTTTCTATGGGCCCACATGCAATTGGAAATGAGAGTGGAAGAGGAAGCACGATCCATTTGGCACTTGAAAAGGTGCAGGGTTGAGAGGAAAGAGCTCGGCACTGTGGGCCCAATCAGGATTGAGCCCTTGTGGCATTTTAAAATCACTTTAAAATTGCAATGGTGTCCTCATGGCAGTCATGAGTTTGCCATCATGTTGTGTTTGGCCCTTACACTGAGTGAGATCAATGGTCTGTCAAAGTTGGTATTGTCTTCTCTTCTCTGACTGGCAGTGGCTCCTCGGGGTCTTAAACAGAAAAGCTCTTTTCCCAAATCTGCTACCTGGGATACTTTTAAGGTCTGAACCTGAGGACTTCTGAATGCAAAGAATGTGATCTGCCCCAGAGCCACAGTCCCTCTCTTCCTGGACTGCCAAGGAATTATAACTTTCTTTCTTTTTCGAAGCTCCATGCCAGTATGTATCTTCAATGGTGTCATGACCTTGGGCCTACTGTTGCGGCCTAGTGATTCCAGGTAAGCCTGCATGGGAGTAATTTATCAGGGCCTACATTACCCAGGTTCCCTCTGGACCCTGTGATTGGGTAACAGGAGATTTTGGAGGGAAAACTACACCAGCAGGGGAACAGGACGTGGTGCCTTGGAGGAGGATATAAAAGGTCTTACCCAGAGTGGGAGGGAGCAGGGAGCAGGGGTGGTGGAAGCTGCTGCAGACAGAGGGATCCCTCATCAAAAGAGGGGTGAGTTAGACTGTGAACAGGTACCTAGGGAAGGCTAGGAGTGTGTCGACAGCCACGTCAGGATTTGCCTTTACTTTGCTCATTTTTCCTATTTGTTATAGATCTAAAGTTGTTGTTCAATCCCTTAAATAAACTATTGGTTACTCTGCCTGGGTACTCACGCCTCATTTGGTCACGTACAAGGGGAAACCTATTGTAAAAGTGCTGTCAAAAGGGGTAGGGTGGGTGTTCTGGCCCCTCCCAAGGAGTAGGGTTGCCAGGTCTGGGTTGGAAAATGCCAGGAGACTTTGGGGGTGGAGCCAGGAGAGGGTGGGGTTTGGGGAGGGGCCTCAGCATGGTACAACGCCATACAGCCCACCCTTCAAAGCAGCCATTTTCTCCAGGGGAGCTGGAGAACAGTTGTAAAAGCGGGAGTTCTCCAGGCCCCACCTAGAGGCTGGCAACCCTACCAAGGAGTCCCATACCAGAGTGGTGGCAGCCAATAGTGAACCTTCCTAGCTCCTGCTCGCAACAAGTGGCAAAATTGGGGAAGAGAACAACACATGCACAGCACACCATTTGCAAATGTGGTTCAGTCATATGTGCATGGACGCTCATTTTCATTTTCATATTGCCCCTATCTGAATCAGGGCACATTTATAACTTGCAATCAGAATGAATTGTGTGAAGTATATTCATTTCCAAATATCATTTACAGTGTAGAATTTACGGGCACATATACAATCCTCTCCCCAATTTTCTAGTCAAATGTCTTACCTGCCACAAAATCACCAAAGCCAACGGTGGTCAGGGTGACAACCACAAAGTAAATGGAATCCAGAGCTGACCATTCTTTTTCAATGTATTTGAAAATGACTGCTGGAATGGTGACAAAAACGATACAACCGGCCAGGATGAATAGAATGGTTGAGATCACCCGGATCTTCGTCTGGCTCACTTGTTTCTTCTGCAAAACAAATAATGTGTGGTTGTTGACATACTGCTTCCTGATAAAATGACATGTTGTCTTGGATCATCAAATACACACCAGTCGACCTCTTAAAAGCAGCTATGAAAAAGGTATGGATTTCTTGATTAACAAATAACTACCAGTGAATTACTCTCAGAATCCCACAATTAAGGATAAATCTGCTCATCGGTCTCCAATTTTGACATATTTATTTCCTTCACTATGTATTCTCCCAGAATTAAACCCCCCATATAAGCTGAAATCCACAGCAGGATCTCTAATTATTCAAGATATCACATAACCATCTCCAACTGAGAAACCTCCCTTTTTGTACTAGCCCTTAAGGGTAATTCACACTATGAGGTATAGCACTGGGCATATCCAATTGGGAAGGCTTCAGAGACTTTCAAGACCTTCTCCATAAAACAATTCCAGGCCTTCAGTGATCCATCAAACTCAAGAAAAGATGCTTTAATTTCTAGTTCATAACAGAGACACTACTCCACCCAGATAGGTAGATAGTAAAGTTAGAATTATTGGCTGTTTTTCTGTCATACCCCTATAGATTCTTATGGGGGGAACTGACTTAAGACACATCTGGATATTGAGAATATGGCTATGGGTGATGACCAGGTCTTCTTGGCATTGTGTCCTCAAAAGGTAGATGAATCGACACCTAGACTTTAAACACACAGACTCAGTTCAGACATAAAATTATGATGTGTTTACTCATTCAGAGTACTGATGTGAAAGTTTGCCATAGTGGTTAAGTGCTTGGTCTCTAATCTGGGAGAACGGTTTGATTTCACACTCCTCCACTTGCATCTGCTGGATGACCTTGGGAAAGCCATAGTTCTGTCAGAGCTGTTCTTGAAAGAGAAGTTTCTGTCAGAGCTCTCTCAGCCCCTCACAGGGTGTTTGTTGTGGGGAGAGAGAGGGAAAGGAGTTTGTAAGCTGCTCTGAGACTCCAAATGAAGGGCAGGGTATAAATACAATCTCTTATTTTTTTTCTTCTACTTTCTCCCAATCAACAGGACTTGAAGTTGCTTACATTAAAGCCAACTAAAATCTCAGTTCAGAGAAATACAGGTAAAAATGAGCAGACCATAACCTCCACTCACGAGTCATCAATATATGTCAGAAAAGCTGCTTTGCACAGCATCGGAAATCTTTACCAGGTTACTTCCTCAGGAGGCCCATTCTGTAGCATGGCATAAAGTCTAAGCAGAAAGAGTTCTTACTGACCTGAACAGAAGAATTAGTTTATTTTTACTATGGTTAGTTTATAAAATCAGAACTTGGCTCACAGACCATTGTTGAAATCCTAGATTGCCTTGGCAGATGATAGGTTCATTGCCTTCATTCTGTTTTCCTTTTCCCTCACAGAGAGCCAACAGGTATCCCAGCCTGCACGGCAGCAGGGGTGGCATTGAGGAACAAGCCAGGGTATCCATGTTTGTACATCACGTGGAACCATGGTTAAGACTAACTGCAGTTAATAAACCAACCTACGGGTTCAGATCCTGGTTTGACATACCCTAACTGTAATAAGTGGAGTAATCACCTGTGCCTGGATGATCACACTATCCACAGTCAGTCCCATTAAACCATGGTTTCCATGACATCTGAATTGAGCCTTAGCCTCAACAGAAAAAACTGCGAGATGTCTCACTTATATAGTTTCAGAGAAGGAAAGTTAACAGTCTGTTCACATATCTCTTAAGCTAATGACTGCTTTGGCAAAAACCTCTGCAGAATCCAAAAGAAAGCAAGGACCACAGTGGGCTAAACTGGAGGCACTATAGAATTTGCCAGAGTATCAGATGTTTAACTGAAAGGATAAAGTAAGCTTTTAAGAAATGACAAGTTTGAGAATGTTGCCATGGGGGAGGGAAATTTTGAGGAGAGTGTAAATTGTTGCCTAGTAGACTGACATGGTGTCTTTGTGGGAAGGAGTAAGTGAGAGGGCTGAGGAAGACAGCTAAGGATGTTCCCTGAAACAGCAAAACTAGTATCTGCTGAGGTGCTGTGGACCAACCAGAGCTGAAGTGCTGCTGAAGGAGAAGTTATCTGTGTGCGCAGTTGAAACAGCATCTGTGGAGCTGTCAGCATTCAGGATATGCTCCTTTTCCACAGTATCTTGCCTAAAGTCTCACATGAACACATGAAGCTGCCTTATGCTGAATCGGATCCTTGGTCCATTAAGGTCAATATGGGAGGATTTGCCCCGCAAAACAGATGGGTTGAGGGCGGATTAAACCGGCACGATCAGATGCCAACATCTGGCAAGTGTCGCACACCCATCCCCAACCCGTCCCTTCCGGCCAAAAATGCGGATCTAAAAGAGAGTAGTGAAAGGGCATTACCTACCGGATGACGCGCAGCAATGGCAGCCATGGGATCGCTGACGCGCGGTTATCCCATGGTATGCGTGGTAATGGCAAACTGCGCATGCGCACAACTGCTGTGGCTGGCCCTCCTCGCCCTTCTTAGAGTCGCTTTCCCTGCAGCATGTGATCGCAGCTGCTGGCAGAAGCGCAGAGCCTCGGGGGACTGATCCCACTGCCACGCTTCAGTTTGTTCCGGCTCTAAAAAGCCGCACTTCTGCTACGGCTTTTCCTGCTCGTGTGACCGGGGCCACTGTCTGCTCAGACTGGCTGCAGCTCTCCAGAATCTCAAGCAGAGGTCTTTCACGTCACCTACTGCCTGGTCCTTTTAACTGGAGACACCAGAAATTGATCCTGGGAACTTCTGCATGCCAAGCAGAATCTCTGCCACTGAGCCATGGCCCCTCCAAAGTCAACAGGTCTGAGGGAGCGGAGCACCTAAAAACCCACACTAGCTTGACAGTACTTCTGGTGGGGAATCTGTTTTTTACTTGGCTCCAAGAACTCATGGGTTCTTATCTGACAAGAGAGAAATAAAATTGAATGGGGAATGTACAATTCAAATCAGACAACTTTTGATGAATTTGTCTTATCCCTAATGCTATCCCTATAGCTGATTAAGGGATTTCTGTTTCCCACTTTGACTTTGGGAAAGGTTGTGGACTTTTACATATAACTGTCTTGTTTCCCCAATAAAAATCAATTGTAACTCCCAAGTTATCATCCTTTCCTCCAAATTTAAATTAAAGCTTTGCTTGGAAATTGTCTAGATTTCATGAGTAGGAGAACGACTGCCTCTCCCCACCAGCAAAACACTAAGACCTAGCCTGTCTTGGCACCAGGAAGCAGGCAGAAGGGCTACACGTCCATGGGGTTGACACACTGTTGATATTTGTATATTTATTAATTCATTTAAAGAAGAATGGGAAATTAGGCTGTTCCAGTCAAGCATAAATCAACTCTGTGTAAAGCTTGCACAGCACAGAATAGCCTGAGGCCTGCATATTAGAAACAATGCCTGTTCCCATGAGCTCTACCTTAGGTACCTGCTACCATGGTACCTGTTGACACCTTTCTTGACACCTTTTAGAAAATGTATGGGGCCAGATTGGGCTTTTGTCCAGCAGGGCTTCTGACTGGCCATTAGAGATCCACTTGGCTGTGCAGATCTTTCAAAATGTAGCTTTTGCAGCAGCTTCTCCATGACAGCACAAGAATCTTAACCGTGTGATTGAAGTTAAGCTGTGCGTATGCAAGAAATATTTTACAACAATATGTTCATTCCAAAAGGCATCCTATTAAACAGAACTTCTGTCTGAAATGTTGCTGCATCACTATTAGAGTTCCACATAACTTAACTCCCTGACATTCTGTGGTTGGCTCAGCCTCCTGCACCAGCCATTTGCAGACTGCACCTACAGGAATTCCAAAGATGCCCACAGGTACAAAGAGGCTGGAGACCCCTGCTGTACCTCAAGACTTGAGATCTTAGGAAACACTTATCCTCACTACTTGAGATGCCTACCCAAAATGTGGCAGCCCACTCTCTTCTGCCATTAGGAACACGTTTCAATGATTCTGAAACAACTGCAACTGGTTGCCAATTTGCTTACAGGTTCAGTGCATGCTACTGGTTCTTATCTCTAAAACACTTCATGATCTGGGACCACATATCTGAAAGGCTGCTCCCTATGTGTAAATCGATATGCAAGCTGTGCCCCATACAGCAATCTGTTTAGCATGACCTATATTTAGGAAAAAAGCACTAATACACTCCAATCTTGAGCTTTTTAGTAAGTTGCTGAATGAACCTCCGGAAAGTATACAGGGCCCTCTTTTTACCACCTTTTTCAAAATGCTTGTAAGACCATCTTTTCTTCAGCAGACTTTCTGTTTGAATTGACCTATACAGCATGATCATTGACATTTTCCCCCAGAATAGCCTTGTGTTATACTACTGAAATTTCTTCTAATATCATTTCAGATATGTTGCTGGTTGTTACGTGTGATTAAAAGACGCCTGCTCCTTGGGTGGAAAGCGATGACAAACCTAGACAGCATAATAAAAAGTAGAGACATCACCCTGCCAACAAAAGTCTTTATGGTCAAAGCAACGTTATTCTCAGTAGAAATGTATGGCTGCGAGAGTTGGACTATAAGGCCAAACGCTAGAGTTGCTAGGTCCCCCGGGGGGGCAGGGAAACCCCCGCTTGATGGGTCCATTACCCGCTGGCCCACATCAGGCTGCTGGGGGGACCCCACCCCCTGGAGGTGACATCATCGCATCAGGTACGTTGCGGGGGGACACTCTATCACTTGAGGTTTTCCCACGAATGGTTTTCCCTCGAATGATAGTGGTCCCACCCCCCAACATGCCCAACACGATGACGTCACTTCCAGGTGACGTCATCGCAAGGTGTGTGCTTCACGTGCACGCCAGGGAGCTCCCAGAAAGGGCAAGGGCTCCCCCTGCTGCAGCAATGAAGCTCAAATACTTTGGCCACCAAATGAGAAGGGAGCACTCACTGGAGAAGACCCTGATGCTGGGAAAGATTGAAGGTCAAAGAAGAAGGGGACGGCAAAGGATGAGATGGTTAGACAGTGTTATCG